AGGGAATGACAAAAGAAGAAGCAGAAGAAAAACCCCTCACAATAACATTTGCACATTAGCACAGGTTTCATATTACAGCTTCCCCATGGAGTTCCGTGAGATTTTCAGTTACACTCCCTCCCAAGTCTCATTTTATTTTTTATTTTGTTGTCTTTTTTAAAAAAGGAAAAGTCTGCTTGTGTTGATTATCTGTTATTACTTCCAAATAAGAACATGCTTTCATTTACTGAAATTAGATCCGCAGTCACTCCTTGGCACACTCTGGGCCGCCTTCTCCAGAGGGTTTGGGCCTGTTAGCGCACAGTTGGAAATCGGTGACATTGAGTGCCTGCCAAGACTGGCAGACCTTTAAGACGGCATCTGGTGACCTTTTTGCTGAGCCCCTTGGGTTCTCTGTTTGAGATTTGATGTTCTTCGGGTGAGGGATGCTTCTAGCCACCTTTGCAATGTTTCTTTCTAACTCTGAGACTCTGAGCAGTAGCAGAGGGTGGCACCAAAAGGCTGGTTTGCAGGAAGAGCCCAGTGTGAGAGAGAGAACAACTGGATAGTTTTCTCCACGTTTATTTATCATTCAGCAATACAATAATCCCCCCTAATTACTGTAGTTCCCAGAGGACATAAAACTCTTCACTGTGTCCCTGAGAGCAGCAGCTGAAGTCAGAAGTACCTATGAAGATGCTATCTGTGTCTTGCTTCCAAGAGAGTACTGATGGCTTTTTTTTTTATTCTATTGAAATGGCAGATTTCTAGTTTCAGGACCGCAGGTAGATAGCACACAAGCACAGAAGAACTGTGAGTTTGTGAACAGCATAACAACCGATGTGTGTTGACTAGATGTTTGTGCTAGCAATAGACACATGCCATTTCTCAGTTGGGAAGTCATTTTCATGATAATTTTAAACTGCTATGTATGTGGGGGTTTTTTTTAAAAAAAAAACAGCAACAGATTTAACAGGTTATTTTTGGTTTTTATATCTACTGTGGTTGTTTAAACAGACAGGCAGATATATTTCACATTTCTCTAGCTAGTCTGTCCTGAGACTGCCCACAAAAAAATTTTGAAGGGGATTAAAGCAAAGATAATTTATCCCTTGATTTCATCTGGAAGAACGAACTCTCTGCCCCTGTGCCCAGTTTTGCCTTTAAATCCTGCACTACCTGCTTTCGTTGCCTCCTCCTCTACTTTCTGCCCCTCATATAATCCCAAACTTCCATGGAGTCTCTCCTGACTCTTCTATGGGCAGTAGGAATTTAGGTGCAACCAGGTAGACCTAGGTTTAAATTCTGGCTTTACTACCGAAAAACAATGTAGAATTGGACAAATCAAATAAACTTTCTGACACTTAATACCTTCATCCTAAAAATGAGACAAATATGAGCACCTCTCTGAAGGGTTGATCTGAAGACTAAATAAACTAGTGTATGTAAGTGGCTAGTGTGACTGTCATGGGGTTAAATGCTCAGAAACGTTATTTTTGCAACCATTGCAAACTGTAACTATTACTCATTAAGTTTTTTTGTGGTAAAATTGGGGTACAAGATTAAATACATTTCAGTTGTACAACATGATAATTTGATATCTGTATACACTACATAGTGTTCACCACTGTATGTGTAGTTACCATCCATCACCATATAATTGGTCCCCTCTGCCCCTTCCCCTTTCACCCTTCTCTTAAGTCCCTTCCCCTCCCATAACCACCAGTTCATTCTTTGTATCTATGAGTTTGTTTTTGTTCTGCGTGTTTTTTTAGATCCCACAAATAAGTGAAATTATATAGTATCTGTCTGATTTATTTCGGTTATTCCTCTTATGAATTTCAAATATCACTGATTCTTTGTAACATTCACTTGACATTCATCCATAAGTTAATGAGGTATGTTTTATATTATTTATATAAAATATATGTCGATTTTTTTAAAAAACTTAGAAATATATCTATATGCATATACATAGATGTGCACATCATAAGTATACTCACTAAATTTTCACAAACATAATACACCCATGCAACAACCATCCAGATCGAAAAATAGAATAGTACCAATATCCTAGAAGCCCCCTGGAATTCCCCTCTGGGCTCTACAACTCTCCAAAAGGTAACCTGTAGCTAAAAGCTATCTATCTAACTTATAGAAGCAAGTTATACCAGCTATTAACTTGATTATTTGTGTTATTTTTGGACAACCAAATGAAATTAAGTTCCTTAAGGTCAGGGACCATATGCTATACGTCTTCTCTCACTGCAAGAACTATTTATTAAATATGCACCTTTCTTCTATATTCCCATCTTGCTCTGTTGTTATTTGACTGCACCTGTCTGGCAAGACCCCAGCCCTGAATGTGCCCCACTGTGTTCTTTGCTTCTCCACAAGGACTCCTGGGCAATCCTGGAGGAGACCATTCACGCTCTCAGGCTGATGCCACAAAGTCATGGTCTCCAGCCTTCATGGTCACTCATTTTTGCCCCACCAACCTTTCTTCTGATCAGCTGTCTTCCACTCTTCATAGCAGCTATCTCAAGCCATCTACCCTTAATCAGACTTCCTACCCCACCACTTCCCCCTTGAGAGAGCCAACAAGTAGCCATACTGTGTATATCAAAAGAAAATTCAAACTGTCAGCAATTTGATCAACATCCTGGCACCAAATGTACAAATAAATTTGCCTGCAGCCTCACCTAGCTCCCTATTACCCAACCTTGAGGTTTCATTTCCGCCTCTGTTCTCTCAGTGACACCCCATTTCACTTTGTCAGGGATCATCTCATTTTACCAATGATATCCTCTCCTTTTCTCTGGCTCAGCTGGCTCTTTTCTCAGCCCACTTCAGTCTAGTATCCACCCCCATTATCTCACTGAAACTCGTTTGCCAAGATTCCTGGTGATGTCAATGGACACTTTTCAGTGCTTACCTTTCTCAGGAGTACCTAACACTGTTGACCAGTGGTTCCCAAACTTATTTGGCCTACCGCCCCCTTTCCAGAAAAAATATTACTCAGTGCCCCCTGGAAATTAATTTTTTTTTAAATTTTAATAGCAATTAAACAGAAAGATATATGTATTAATGTTTCTACCTTTTTCGTAAAATATAGTAAAGAAAGGTGTAAATTAGAAACATTGAAGTTTGAAATTATGAAACTATTTATTGAACTCAGAATAGAAAGGTAATACAAAAAAAGTTAAAACAAATGCACCTGTGGCCATCACCGCCCCCCTGGATGCTGCAGCGCCCACCAGGGGGCGGTAGCGCCCACTTTGGGAATCACTGCTGTTGACTATGCCCTCTCTCTGGAAACATCCTCTTCACTTTACTGCCAAAAACTCACACTGCTGGTCCCCCTCTACCTTACTGAAAATTTCTTCTAAATTGCTTTTTAGGGTTCCACTTCCCTCTATAAATGTAGGAGTTCCTCAGAGTTCTTTCCTAGGCCTTCTTTCCTTCTCATGCTGCCACAACCAAGAGGATTACTACCAAAAATATACATCTAAATCATTGCCTATGATTTGGTTTTACTAAATCAACAAATACTGAGGCAATTGTTTCATGCTCAGAGAGTATGACATGCTTTAAAATAGAGCCTTTCTACTGTATTAACAATAACATCTAGAATTTATAGAATCCCTTCTAGACATAACAATTTTGAAATTTATTTTTCCAAATTATAAAATAATATTTTCTCGTGTAGAAAATTAAGAATAGTTTTATGAGATGTGATGTGATATAATATAATGTAATAGAGTGTAATGGAATCTACTGAGTTTCACTACCCAGAGATATTTACTGTTTACTTCAGCTTATATCCTTCTAGATATACTGTATACTCACACATAAACACATATATTACAGACATGCTTTGTACATAGTTGAGATAATTATATTTTTCACTTATTTCTATAACTAGACATTTTTGTGTCATTAAAATTATTCCTAACTATTTTAATAGCTCTATACATTTTATCATATGGACATATAATTAAATATTCAACATATCTACCTATTACTAAATATTTAGAGTTTTTAATTTTTCTGCTTCTGCATTTTTTTCATAATACACAATCTTAAAATTTTGATTTAATAGGCTAAAGAGTTTCAACTTTCTGACTCTTCATACATTTTGTCAGGTTACCCACTCAATCACTTAGATCTTTTGGTGTAGCCATTCACTTTTTTTTAAGTTTTCTATATTTAAAATGGTGACTTGCAATTGTTTTTGACTTATAAGTCTTTAGTAATGAAACAAGGTTGAATAATTTTTTAATTTTTTTATTATTTGCATTTTCATGAATCATTCCTATTGGACTTTTATTTTCCTTTTCTTTTCTCTATTCAGGGGTGGGTAACATTTTTCTGCCAAGGGCCATTTGGATGTTTATAACATCATTCACAGGCCACACAAAATTATCAACTTAAAAATTAGCCTGTTCTATTTGGTCAAACATTTAATTAACTCACCCCTAATGCCTTGGCAGGGACAGACCAAATGATTTTGTGGGCCTTATACAGCCCTTGGGCCAGAAGTTCCCCACCCCTGCCTATGTAATATTAAATTTAAATGGAGGACTAATGAAAGGAAAAGAAGCTTCAAGGTGAGGAGTTGAGGGAAGACATAGAGCAGAACTGGAGCTGGCGAACTGCCTTGACTTTCTTTTTCTAGTTACAAACAGCAAAAATACCTTTCAGGCTTGTAAGTAAGATATGTGATGATCTATAGGGTTCATTTTGATACTGTCATTACTTACAATAGGAGCTTTGGAGCAGATGGACAGATTATCTTTATGAGTATGAGGAAGAGGGGAGGGGAAATAAAGGCTAAGGAAATAATAACATGGCCTCTCTATGGTAAATGATCCCTAGACAAATAAACAACATTTACTTCTTCATTCCCCAATGCTGGGTTACTACTGTTCACACCAACAAACACCTTCTATTTTCTCATGCCAGCCTAGCACATGCAAATCCACCCTGTGAGTAACAAAGTGCAAAACCTTTCTTCACAGCAAGGAGGAGGAGAACTTGAAGGCAGAAACTCAAAGAGTGTTCCAGAAATCTGTGACTGGTAATGCAAGGCAGATGAGCAGAGACCCCCCAGTTCCTAGTAATCCCACTGATCATCAAATCAGTCATGGCCCAGATGATGTGCAAGAGAACAAGCCCCCCGAGAACAACCAGAAACTCCTAACGGGAGCGCTCGGTAGCAGACTTCTGGATGGCAAAGTGAGTGACAAATACCTGAACTGTTCTTGGTAAAGGGCTAGGAAAATTCAGAGTTAGAATAGAAGCACCTATTCATACAAATGGTAATAGATGTATTTTGCATAAGATAGACTTAGAATGCATTTTTTAAATCTGAAAATGAATTTTGAGATTATTGTATATATGCATCTTTGTTGACCACAAGTTGAGTTGCTCAACCTACTCTGCCTCTGGCTCACTCAATGATGGACATATAGTGATAATTAGCACCATACATGTAAATTTGGGATAGGTTGGAGGTAGTGTGGTCTGTCTTCTTTAACATTCCAGGGAGAGATCACTTACTTTCAAAATCCAGTGCCACCATATCTAGACATCCAAAAATTATCAGCCAAAAACTATCTGGATAGAAATCTATATCACTGCACTCTTGTTCAGAATCAGCCAAATGATCCACAACAAACTAACGTGATAATGAAGAATCTAAATGATTAGTATTTTGTAATTAAAAAACAAGAATAGCAGCAATTGCTAACTGGATCCAAAACAAGAAAAAACTAACAATTTATTGGTAACAAAGTACCATTTCCAAAAATTGTCGAAACGGCAATTAAACGAATACATAGAGTAGGAGTTTTGCAGTGCTGCCAAGCATTAAGTGACAGCCAGATATTTTAGTAGAATGCTGAGAGTCTGCAGCACACTTTAACATAACCATTTTTAGTTTTTAATTTTAATAGTCCCTACTAAATCTCTCAGATACAAGCTAGTTTTAGTTATATGAGAAAATAAAAGCCTATGGATTTGTGACTTTTGTTCATAAGAATGCTGGAAAAAATGCAATTTAGAGTAGTTAACAGCCCAGCAATGGACCTCAGACCATACTCTGAAAGATCTACTTGAACAGTGGGGTCCAGAAATAAAAGTGACTTGCCCAAAATGTCAATGGCACAGCTTGTGCTGGAACTCTGGCTTCCTAATCCCCAGGTAATGCATTCTTTTTGCTTTCTCATGAGTCCTTGAATTTAGGACTTGGTTGAAGCAGAACATACTGCATCTGCAGAGGTAAACTAATCTATTATGAACTTCTAAAGACCTCTGAGTTTTCACCTAATTTTGACTCTGGTGTTAATATATTTGTTTTTGTTGCTCCCCAAGGATGACTTTGGTCAGAATATTATAGTTATGAAACACTTTATTATTGCCTGGTCACCTTCAGGTAATTTTTATTATTTGCTCCTTGGAATTAACCTGTGAGGTTATTTCTATCACTATGGTATACAGATGATAAAACTGAGATGCAGAAAAATTAAAGTGACTCAAAAATGTCCAGATAAGATGTTTACCCAGGTTTTCTTTTCTCTTCTTAATATTGATCTTCCTAATTATAAAATATTACATACTTAGGTAGAAATTTTGGAAAATGCGAGGAGAATACAATTAAGAAGAAAACAAAACTCAACTGAAAAGAAAAAAATAGCGGTGTACTTCTTTCTCTTCTTTCCTCCATGCATAGATATACTAGTAAAGTATGAATCATGATGCATATACTCTGTTATCCTGCTTGATTCACTTCATAGCAAGAATTCTGTTCCAGCTTCACAAAATTCACCTTAAGCATCCTCTTTAATGGCTCTATGAGTCATACTCAGAACACTTAAATAACATTTACTCTGTGCCAGGAGCTATTCTAAGCTCTTTACATAGATTAACTAATGTAACCACTCTCAAGCACCCAATGAGGTAGGAACACTTATTAACTTCAGTTCATAGGTGAAGGAACTGAGAAACAGAGAGTTCAAATGCCTTGTCCAGATTGTAAGACTGAGAAGTGGCAGAGCCCAGTTGAAGCCCAGGTTCTAGGTCCTTAATCACCAAACTGTATTCATTCCTTTATAGGAATATAACATGGCTCATTTAACTAATCCTTTATTTTTGGCATGTAAGTCATTTCTAGGTTTTCTTATAAATAGAAAGTTGTTTCTTAATATGCCCCCTACCACAGCGAGCTGTCCATTCCTGGAACAGACTCTGCGTTAGCCATTATAATGGGCAGCATGTTCGCTGGGTAAGCTGTTCATGAGCCTCCATAATCTGGACTCTTTGCTAGCGCTGGAGTGACAGAGGGAGATGACGTGTCTCTCCCCCACACAAAAAACTCAGTGAGGTTTCTCGTGGGAGGCTCAGTAGGGCTAACACTCAACCACCAAACACAGCAAGGCCTCGTCGGAGGTGTGGGCCTAATTGGTTCTGTCTGCCAAGTGTGTGGAGCTGGCCTGCCAGATGGCAGCCACAGTTGCCTGGTACAGAGACCCTCATTACCACCTTGATAAGTGGTAAATGGAATCATGCCTCAGTGAAAAAAACAAACCAATCAGAACTCATTCTAGATCCTCATCCCTCACACATAGATGAAAATAAGCTTTCCTGTGTGGTATCTAACAGACAATCTGGACTGAATTTGCTCCAAAAGAGAATTTACTGATAAAGACTTATGCTAACGTGGGTGAGGATGGGCAAACTTTTCTAAATTACAGATGCAGCTTGAAGGGTATCATATGATTAATAGGAGGTAAGTAAAGCAAAAAATGTTAAGTAAATCCATTATTTCATGTAAGTGAGAACAGTTAGATATCTTAGAAATCAACCACTACAAACTTTCATTTCACAAATGAAGAAGAAGAGGCCCAGAGCTTCATGTTTAGTTCAAAGTTTCACAAGTGAAGAGCCTGGTTCTTCTCACCATCGACCCTAGGATCTTTTTGTCTCCAATTCTTCTCTTTATGTGTCTTTGAAAATATATATGTTGTTTACATTATTTCTCAGAAAAATCAGTTCTGCCTTCTCTCAGAAAATAAAAAAGAATGTGTGACTAGCAACGAACTCAGTAGCATGGTTTCAAAAATAAAGTTAGTGTGCTTTTTGTATCCGGCAGCATGAAAATGAAAGTGTTAGTGCTCTCATTTTGATAATTATCATGGCTGATTGGTGGTGTTTCTTTTAAACCCCTTTTGCGTGTTTTATCTTGCCTGTTCTGCTCAATAGCCCTGTGAGAAAACAACAACAAAAAATAGCCCTGTGAGGAAGGTAGCAGCACAAAATGTTATTTCCTTTAAGAGATGAATAGATAGATGTGAAGGACATTTCCACTTGGCTGTGCAGCATTGGTGGCTCAGATTCAATATGTTCAAAGCAAAATCTCCAATCCCACTCTTCGTCTTGTGGTCTGTCTCACAGAATGGTCTCCCAGTTCTCCCAGTTGCACAAGCAAGAAACCTGGGCATGCTTTCCTCTTCTCTCTCCCTAACTCTGGTATCCAACTAATCACTGAGACTTTTAAATTCTACCTCCTTCCTGTCTCTCAAAAACTGCTCTCTTCCTTATGTTTCCTCTGACATCATCCTAGTCAGACCACCATTATACCTCAGCAGAGAGACTTTAATTATCATCAAATTGGCTTTCCTTTTCTATGCTTCCCTCTCTGTATTGGTCAGCTATTGTAATACTTCTGTGTAACAAATTACCCCAACACTCACTCAGTGGTTTATAATAATTTATGCTTACATCAGCAGATGTGAGCGAACACAGCATTAATTTATTTCACTTGGACATTCCCAGGCTTGGCTCCAGATTGAAAATTTGGTTCAGGTCTGCTCTGTGTTTTTCTTATTGGTCTGAATCAGTGGGTTCTTCAAGGCAAGTTCTTGTCATGGTAATGGAAACATTTCAAGAGTACAAACTCAACCACAAGTACATTAAGCCTTTGCTTGTGTCATATCCACTAATCTCCCATTGGCCAAAGCAAACAACATGGCAAAGCATAACACTAATGGGGCAGGGATGTATATATACTACCTCTTTTAGGAGGAACTTCAAAACCACAGATCAAATGTAACCCCTACTTAAAACATTTAAAACCACTGTTTAATTCTCAATGCTCCAGTATAAAATTCAAACTCCTTGACTGATCATTTTAACTCAACTTTGTCTACTCTATACTTCCCTCCCATCCCCCATCTTTCACTGAACTGAACTTCCATTTCCCAAATAGAGTTCCGTTCTCTTTTATCTCCTACTAGAGGCCCAGTGCACAGATTCTTGCACTGGTGGGGTCCCTAGGCCTGGCCTGCACCCTCTCGCAATCCGGGAACCCTCAGGAGATGTGGGATAGCCAGTTTTGACCCAATCCCCACAGGCCCGATCCAGACAGGAGGGAGCCAAATCCCCGCAGGCCTGATCCAGACAGGAGGGAGCCTGATCCCCGCAGGCCTGATCCAGATAGGAGGGAGCTCAATCTTGTGCATTGAGCGTCTGTCCTCTGGTGGTCAGTGCGTGTCATAGCAACCGGTTGACTGGTCATTCGGTCGTTTGGTCACTTAGGCTTTTATATATATAGATCTTTTCCCCATGCTATTTCTTTTGTGTGGAATTCTCTACCCTCCATCTTTATTTAACCCTAATTACACTGGGGTCTCAACTTAGATATCAGCTCTGTCGAGAAACATCATTGTCTAATCATCAAGACTGAGGTATGTGCCTTTTCTAATGTACTTCTAAATCAACCTGTGCATAACCCTATAGCAGATGTCATCATACTATTAAAATAAGTTGTTTCTTTGTCTCTCTCCTTCAATGAGTCTATAAGTCCCCTGATAATAATATTTTATCTTGTTCATTGTTATTTCCAAAATTCTCTCTCTATGTAAGAAATGCTAGAGGCTTTCACATTAGAGCCTGGAAGAAGTAAATGTATGTATTTTTTCCACTGGTTCTTAATATTATGTTGGAGATATTCACCAATGTAATTAAACAATATAAAGCAACTCAAAACATAATTAGAAGAGAATAGGAAAAACTCTTTTCAGATTATAATATTATACACATAACTCTCAAAACAGCTAGTGAAGAAACTACTAAAACAGTAAGAGAATTTGACAAAACAGTTATAACATCAATATATACAAATCAATAGACTTCATGTATATAGAAAAAACCTAGTCAGAAGATAAAATTCAAGACACCA